TAGGTGCTGAGCCTGCTTTTGGTTTAAGAAAGATTAGACCTCTTTGACTGAAATCACAAATAAACTTAAATTTTCTTCAGCCCACAGGCAAAGGAAAAAACAGTTCTCCAACAGTAAGAATCTTAACAAATACTTTATTAACACACTGTCATATTCCTGGGATAGAAGCATCCTCAGAACATTGACGCAGACTGAAGATGCTGAAATGGGTGTTCAGGTCCTTGGTCCTCCATCTAGTTGCACAGCCCTGTACTCCTCCACAGAGCTAGGCTTGCTGTCCTTTACCCTGTCCCCTTCCTGCATGGAAACGGGGCTCCTGTCAGTCAAATGCATAGGGTTGGCTCTCAACAGCAGGGGCTCCTTAGGATTAAATCAAAACTGAGAAAAATTTTGCATCAGTTGACCAAAATGGATTTAGACTTTAGTTTTCAAAAAGTCATTCTCATTCACATTCTCTCCAGGAAGGGGCTGGAATGTTTTCAGGATGAGCATAAAGATTCCCATTGCCGAAATATTCGGAATACTTTTCTTGATTTCTCAGAGAGACTCTGTAAGTATAAAAGTTTATTATTAGAGATTAAAATCTTTTTCTTCTCTTTTCTTTCTTTTTTGTTTTTTTTTGAGATAGAGCCTCATTTTTTCACCCTCGGTAGAGTGCCAAGGCATCATAGCTCACAGAAACCTCAAACTCTTGGGCTCAAGTGATCCTCTTGCCTCAGCCTCCTGAGTAGCTGGGATTATAGGTGCCTGCCACAGTGCTTGGCTATTTTTAGAGATGGAGTCTCACTTTTGCTCAGCCTCGTATTGAACACCCACCTCAGCCCTCCAGAGTGCTATAATTACAAGTGTGAGCCACCAAGCCCTGACTATGATTAAATTCTTTTAAAGAGACAAAGGATAGATAATAGTCTTGGGGCAGTGCCTGTGGCTCAAAGGAGTAGGGCGCCGGCCCCATATGCCGGAGGTGGCGGGTTCAAACGCATCCCCGGCCAAAAACTGCAAAAAAATAGTCTTATGGCTTGGTCTATAAATTTCTCCCACAATGATTGAGATATCACTAGGATTAAGCAAATACCATTTTATAATTGTACTATATATAATATACATATAAAGTCAGACTGCAGATGAAAAAGCTACATTTCTACTGTCCAACTGTAGCTAACACACTCTGAGACTCTAAAACATGGCTCATATCTTCCCTCCAAGTATCTGTATCTGTCCTAATCTTTGTATGACACTTCTGACCCGACATTAGTGCAACACACATTTTGTATTGGTTTTTCATCCTTGATGCTGAATTGGTCCTAGTTCATTATTTCCTATGAACAAGTAATCACATTTATGTGATACCTTGCTAGCTGGAGTGAACAGTATAATCCATTGCCAAGGAATAAAACAACGTTGGAGACCCTTACAAGTTTAAATTATGACCTAAGCCTTGTCAGCTTTATGTTTTGGCTAGCAGAGCTTTTAATAGAAAGAATCTCATTGCTACTTGACCATGACCATGAAGTGCACTGAAATTCTGAGAAAGACAAAGCAATTCATTAGAAAGTGAAAGTTACTATCTGTGAATGAGAACACTTGGTTCTTTCTGCCCCCCTTCCCGTTTTTTTTTTTTTTTTTTTTTAAACAGAGCTCATGGTTTGGTGCTCATAGCACAGTGGTTATGGTGCCAGCCACATGCACTGAAGCAGGCAGGTTCAAACCCAGCCCAGGCCAGCTAAACAACAATGATAACTATAATAAGAAAATAGCTGGGTGTTGTGGTGGGTGCCTGTAGTCTCAGCTACTTGGGAGGCACAGCACTCTACTAAGGGCAACATAGTGAGATTCTGTCTCAAAAAAAAGAGAAGAAAAGAAAAAGAGTTTATTTTGTCACCCT